CTGCGGGGGTGGGGGAGGCACCTGGTGGGCCAGGACCAGCCGTGCTGAGAACAGGGAGAGGAGGAGTGGGCACAGGGCGGGCTGCTGAGGTCGGAAGCCCTGAGGTGAGGTTTGGCAGCTGTCAGCGTCTCCTCCCAGCTTAGATCCGGGAACAGCGTCTTAACTCATCCAGTGGATTTCCCGGAGTGAAACCTGGCTTGCCTCGCTGGCAGAGACCCCATGTTACAGGAAACTCAGAGCGGGGGAGATGAGTGGATGTGTGAGGAAGGGGGGGTGGGTGGCTTCTGTGCTGGGTGTGGGTAGAGAAGCAGAGGCCTGGGCGCAGCACTGCGGGCCACCGGGTGGGCAAGAGGGAGCTGCTCACCCCAGGCACCGTCAGGGCAGCAGGGTCCTGTGATGGAGGAGTGGACGGCAGGTGCCCCTCCAGCTGGCTTTGGGTCCACAGGTGTTGGTAGGTTTCAGGAGGCAGCTGGGAGCTGCAGAGACACGGGGTGGAAGGAGGTGGTGAGAGTGAGCCACCAGGGAGGTGGTCATTGGTGGCAGTGGCCCAGAAGGACAGGCCAAGGGGCAGAGGTGGGAGAACTGGCTTTGGGAGCCTCCCCAGTCCTCTCCTATTGGCTGTGTGGTTGTCCCAGGCCAGGCCAGGCCAAGCGCCGACTGCAATGGAGGGGAGCAAGGAGAGGCAGCTCACTGTTAGGAACCTGGGCACACAGCACTGGGACTGTTGGTCGCCTCTGCTTCATCAGCTCACGGCCGTCTGAATCGTGAAACGCGTCAGATTTGGGGGCCATCTCTCGGTCCAGGGTTTCTGTTTTCATGGCATGGTCATTTCCTTTTAGCAACCTCGGCGTCTGTCCGGGTGGGGCGTCTCCTCCTGGTGCTCCCGGTCCCTGGAGGCCCTGCCTGGCTGACGGCTCCTTCCCCTAGACCCAGCAACTCTGCACCCAGGGTGCTTAGAGATAAATATAAAACTGTATATATAGAAGATGCTGAATGAAATACGTCTTGTCTGCCCAACACAAGGAACAGCCTCCTGGCCTCCCCGATGGTCTGAATGGCGGGGGTCGTGACTCGTGTATTATGTTTTCTATGAAGCAAGTTGCTCTTTTACTTTTTGAAGCCATCCATGAAGATACTGAAAGGGGCTAACACACTGCAACTTCCCAGTCTGAATTTGAATGTAGGGCTAGCCTGAGGCTGGTGCTGGGTGGGGGTGGCTCATTGGCTACTTAGCACCCAGTGCGTGGCCAGAACCCAATCCTACAGTCCTTGAGGGAGGGAGCCAGTAAGACACAGTTGGCCCCGAACCAGTGAGTGACGTGGGAAAGTGTGAGCCGCCCAGGAAGACAGTGCAAGGCCAGGGCAGGTCAGGAAGGGGGCGTTCTTGGTCTTTCGATGAGCTCGGGGGTGAGGGGACGTGCTGCAGCAGGTGTCCACCAGGCAGAAGCGTGTCCAGGATGCTGAAGTCGCAGTCCGGCTGCCTGGAGGAAGCGTCTTCAGGTGGTCCTGGGCGTGGCTGCTGCTGTGATCTCGGCCTCCTTCCTCCTGGTCTTCTCCACACTTCCGCTGTTGCTGCCGGTGGGTTCTGTAGACTCGGCACAGTTCCCCGCAGGCGCAGCCCACGGGTGGTGGGTCGAGGCCTGCTGTGCCGGACCCTGACCGTCCATGCAAAGTCATGCTTTATACCGTCCAGGTAAGGCCGCGGTTTGAGAGCCGAGTCCGCCCGCAGAGCCAGCTCGCTGACGCGCTCCGCCGCTCTGCTGCGACGCTGTGCCTCCTTTTCTTCACAACGTGCCCTGCCCCGTTCTGTGGCCCGCAGGTCCCCAAAGGCACTGACCAGAACTGGGCGCAGAAGCTCTACGACCGGCACTCGGGCAGCCAGCACTTCCAGAAGCCGCGCATGTCCAACACAGCCTTCATCGTGGTGCACTTTGCAGATAAGGTAGCTCGGGCTCCGCTGGCGCTGCACCGCCACGCAGGCGGGGGCTTCAGGCCTGAGGTCCCACATAGTTTCCCTCGTGGCCTCACCTCGCAGAGGCTGCTGGCATTGCCTCGTCACCTGCTCACCCAGGGCTTCGGAGCACCTCTCTCCTGGAAACACAGCAGGGTGTAGAACAGCCTGAGCCCGCCCTGGTGGAGCCGGGAAGGTGCGGGCAGCACCGGCTGTCTGGGCTTCCCCCATGGAGCAGGTGTCCAGTCTCTGTAGGTGGCCTCTTTCCCGGTTGCCCATGTGGATTTTCCTAAGTGGGTTTCTGGTGGTGCACTAGGCTGAGCTTCTCAGCTGGGATGCGCA